ATTTCAATCTTGAATCTTGAATCTCAATCTTCAATGCGTAGTCTGATACGGGCATTACGTGAACTATAGATTTCCATGCGATCTATGCGCTCAATGCGTGAAACGGAACGCAGCCATACTCTCACGATCAGTGCTTTATGATGGAGAAATTTGTAGGAGGAAAAATACCTCTCTTTCCCATTCTTAACATTCTACATTTTCGAAAATATAAACATAAATGGCAGAGCGAATACAGTTTTGATAAAACAATTTTTATTTTATTGTGATTTATTGTGACTAGCACAGTTTTGTGATTTTACCGTTATTTATTAATTCCAGCATTACATAATTTTCAACATAATTGTATTATTAGCAAACACAACAAACATTATAAGAATTGTAATCACATATCTTTTGCGATTTATTTTTATCTCATTTGTGATCTGTTTTCTATTGTATTATAAGTACAATGATTCATTTCGTTTTATTCGTTTTCCGTCGAAAATGTATAGAATTTCTCTTCACGATGAAGGCAATATTATGAACAACTTTGAATAACTGACACGATGAATCACAAGCAAAAATTTATTAGGGATATATTTTTTTCTCTGAATAATAATAGAATCCGTTTTTCAAGAATGGCCATAGAAATTCGTTGTTTGAACAATATTTTTTTGAGTAAAATATGTCCAAAAACTATGACTAGTGTACGACCTAGAAAAAGCGTTACACGAAAAACGGCAGCGTGGCGACTCTCATTCTTCTCTCTGGTAATGCGTATGCGTGGTCATATGTGATAAACATGGCGGACTCCACAAATAATTCGGAGGATGATCGACTCTCATGCAAGATTTTGATTATTGGTGCCGGTATGGCCGGATTATCGGCGGCAACTCATTTGTTAAAGAATAGCGAGATGGATTTTCTTATCGTCGAAGCGCGCGGACGTATAGGCGGACGAATCGTTGCCGCTCAAATCGGTACGGTTGACGTAACCTCTCCTGGACGATGTTTGTGTGACTTGCTTTCAAATTTATTTGCTCTTATAATAGAATGCGACGTACTCTGCAATTATAATCATTATAATATATATTAAAATGTTTAAAGATATTATTTATTTTCGAAATTTGTAATATGAATTAATAATGATGTAAGGAAATTAGAAATATATATACACATATACGCATATAAAATGTTAATCACAACAGAATTTATAATTTTATACAAGATAACTTTATCAATTATTCTGGCAAAGTTAATTTTTAAAGTAATTATATTGTCAATTCTCGTTATTTAAAAAAGAAATGATAGAAAATAAATAATACAATTTTTCATTTTTTCTTTTTGTCCATTTTGCCTAGGCAATGAAAAAGTTGAATTAGGGGCAAATTGGATCCATGGTGTACTAGGTAATCCCATGTTTGAGCTAGCAATGGCGAACGGTTTAATAGATATTGTACATGTGCCGAAACCCCATAAAGTAGTGGCTGCTTTGGAGGATGGGAAACAGTTACCGTTTCCCGTCTTGCGGGAGATTTATGAAGCTTATGTATGCTTCTTGAGACGATGCGAAGAATACTTTCTAAGCACATATAGTCCGCCAGACGGTATAACAAGCGCAGGGGCACACATTGCACTGGAAGCGGAGATATACCTTTCGTCCTTACCACTTGAACAACGACGAGTGAGACAATTGATCTTCGATTGTCTACTCAAGAGGGAGACCTGTGTTACAGGCTGCGACAGCATGGATGAAGTGGATCTCCTGGAAATGGGCTCCTACGATGAGCTTCAAGGTGGAAATATTAGTCTTCCAAATGGATACAGTGCTATATTGGAACCAGTTTCAAAGCACATACCAAAGAATTGTATTCTTACTCGGCATGTCGTGACAAAGATTAGGTGAGTCTTGTAGTAATTAATTATATGGTAAATGTGTTAGATGATATGCACTAGTGTTATAAATTAGCCTATTACTTGTAGGTGGCGTCCCCAGGAAGGCATCAATCCTACAAGAAACTCCGATTCTAAATCGAATAGCCTTATAGAAGTACAATGTGAAAATGGAAAGACAATTACCGCGGAGCACGTAGTATGTACATTGCCGTTGGGCGTTTTAAAAAGGACAGCTACAGACTTGTTTGAACCATCATTGCCGACTTATAAACTCGAAGCGATAAATAGACTGATGTTCGGTACAGTGAATAAAATATTTCTCGAATACGAACGACCTTTCCTGAATCCTGGCGTATCGGAAGTGATGCTCCTATGGGACGACGAGCGATTATCCGAAGCGGAAAAGCAGGATATTGGCAAGACCTGGTTCAGAAAGATATATTCGTTCATCAAAATCTCGGATACGTTGCTGCTCGGTTGGATATCCGGTCGCGCGGCGGAATACATGGAGAAACTAAGCACTACAGAGGTGGCGGAAGTGTGCACGACGATTCTGCGACGGTTCCTCAACGATCCCTTCGTACCGACCCCGAAGAGCTGTCTGCGCACCACATGGCACTCGCAACCCTACACACAGGGTTCCTACACTGCGATGGCTGTCGGAGCGAGTCAATTAGACATCAGAAGTTTGGCCGAGCCGTTGATCCAGGAGAAAGCGGAAGACGAGACGGACGGAACGGCTAAAATTTTGGTGGCATTCGCGGGTGAACATACACATTCATCGTTCTACAGCACGGTACACGGAGCATATTTGACCGGCCGAACGGCGTCTGAATTGCTCTTGGGTGTCAAACAGAGCGAAAAGCACGCGTTGAGTCTTAGTTGCGAGGACACTAGCGATCTCAGCTCGTGGATACAAGGCATTTCTTTGAATTAATGCACGATTTTTCCCGAGAAAGAAATATATGTACGACGATTAAAGATGTATTTAGTGCTATATATACATTACGCGCGGTTACTTTCATTTTGTAAATACTGTAGTGCGAAACTATCATCTCTATACACATCATGTACATAATGGTGCTTTTTAAAGTTTTATGTCTGCGAATTATGGATTATGCGGATGAGGTGTGTATTTATCGTATTATGCATACCGTGCCGTGAACAAATAACGCGAGTAAAACCGAGATAGGACAGAGAAACTGCATGTCACCGACGTCGGCGATATCGTGAGTGATCGATGTGATATGTGGATGTTACAAATGTATTCGGCACGGATGTTATTTTGTTTGAATACGAGAATATCTTAAATATAACGAAACAAATATTTTTAGGTGATTATGCAAACATTTATTTTATGAAATCGCGCGAACTATATAATGTTTTTGCTAATCTCATGTAGATAGTATATCGGATCCAGTCGAATTCACATGGACGAGCCTAATTCTATTTGCGCGATATGTAACGATATTTTTAACGATTATGTATGTATGTATGTGCATGTTATAACACACACACTCACATATACGCACGCGCGCGCGCGCGCGCACACACACACACGCACACACACGCACACACACACACACACATATATATATATATATATATATATATATATATATATATATATATATATATATATATATATATATATATATATATATATATATATATATATATATATATTATATATATACAAAAATTAGTAGTGAGATTTATAAGAAATCGGAAAGCGTATATTGTATACTTTTTATTCTCAATTTTCTTGTACGCGTTTACTATGAATGTGAATTATTCGCTTGCTTGATTTCTTTGTTATCACTTATCACACATCGTACTTACTGTTTAGTGAAAAAAGTTCCGTCATGCATTAATCTAGTCATTTTGAAAAATACATGAAAACGATGTATTTGATAAATAATGGACAATTTTTTAACCAAACTCGATAACAAAATCACGATAATATCGAATACCGACATTGAAATGATTTCTATAAAGTAGAATAGAGACATTCTACTTGTTCTATATTATTTTATATTACTACATGTTATGTTAGCAAATGTTATGTGCCATCAGACATATTAATTCTTGAAATACTAAATGAATGGAAAGAATGAAAAATGTCTATTTAAAATTGCAAGAATTATAATACATATGCAAGTCCAAAGAACTTATAAGAATAGAATTGTTTATTAACAAATGCTGCACATTAAAAAGAATATAATTTGGAATAAGTGACTTGATAATTAAATTTCACAGAGTTCTTGAAAGAAAAGTATTGTATCTAAGAGTGCATATTCAGAATGCAAAAAAGAACAAAACAATCTGATAGAAATTTGCTATTTATTTTATAAAAATATTATTTATAGAAAATGTAAAGGAAATTAATATATGTCAGAAATGAAAGTGGAAAACGGTTTGAACTATTATATCAGTCCAAAAAAAGTTATTCCCTCTTTTCTTCTCTTTTGATTGTATTTAAAAAACCACCAAGTGTTTTTTGAGAAAATGTTAAATATTATGTTACAATAACATTTTCATAAATTTTTTATTGTTAACAAAGTTCTATAGATGTGTGTATAAATTGTGTAGTCAAATATAAAATTTAAAAGAGAAAAAGGAGGAGATAATTTCGCAAATCTTCTGTAATATTCTATGAAAATAACTTGGTATGTTAAGAGTTGTGTGGTCCTGAAATGATATTCTAAATGCATTTGACATTTTAATAATGATGACAATTTTACTATCATATGCCATCTTGTTTCTATATACATTAGCTCAAATTATTTTGCACGTTTAAAAGATTGCATCGATTTTATTTAAATCTTTACAATAAAGCCTAGATGTGTCGATTTTTTATAACCGTATCTAATATCTATATATTTATAGCATGATATCAGATTCAAAGTCACAGTAATTTATCGTGACTTCCAATTAATCTGCTAACTTGCCGCATCACGAAGAACGTTGTGTATCATACTTTTCACGATGTTGCGTACTGCAATAAATCAAAGTGTCCGAAATTTTGGTACTAATGTAACTTCCTCGGTAAAATGCAACCGATTGGAGGGAAAAGTCGCGATCGTGACAGCGTCTACAGAGGGGTAATAAAAGAAAATCATATTTGGAATTATAATTCGAACATTCTGCACAATATGAGACAATATGTCAATGTCATTCTAAGAAGAAATTCTTATGTTCTTGCGAAAATTAGTTGTATAACATTTTGAATATACTATGCTTAGGTTATGGTTTGAACTTCCACAGAATAGGATTTTCCATAGCGAAACGTTTAGCACAAGAAGGTGCTAAAGTAATGATCAGCAGTCGTAAAGAATCGAATGTGAAAAAGGCTGTAGAAGAACTTCATTCCGAGGGATTACAAGTTGCAGGTACTGTCTGCCATGTGGGAAAGACAGAAGATAGAAAAAATTTGTTTGAAAAAGTAAGTTATAACAAGTGCTATTTTTCTATATACACACATATATATGCGTGTAATAATTTCCTTTTTTCTTAGAAAACCACGTTTCAATTTTTTGAACATATACATTTTTTTACCAATTAGTATCAGTAGATTGTTTTATCATCTAAATATAATTATATATCAATACATATAAAAAGTTTGGATAAAATTGTAAAAAATTGCAGACCAAAGCAAATTTTGGAGGTTTGGATATTTTGATATCTAATGCAGCTGTTAACCCAGCAGTTGGCCCCGTATTAGATAGCACTGAGGAAATATGGGACAAAATTTTTGATATCAATGTCAAGTCTACATTCTTGCTTATGAAAGAATCTTTGACACTTCTTAAATGCAGTAAATCACCTTCTATTATTATCGTATCTTCAATTGCTGCATATGCGCCTTTTAATGTGAGTTTATTGAAAAAAATGTTTGCTCCTATTTTTATATATCCTCTATTTATAATAAAAAAACTTCATAATAAGAAATTATCTTATCAATATAACATTTTAGTTACTAGGTATATATTCAGTTAGCAAGACTGCTTTATTGGGTCTAACTAAAGCTACTGCAGAAGAACTTGCATTTGATGGGATTCGTGTAAACTGTATTGCACCAGGGATAATAAAGACTAAGTTTTCAAAACCGGTATTTTTCCATAATCATTTCTAAATCGTTCAATCTGTTGTTTTATTGAAGGATAACTTCTTATATTTGAATTTATCATGGTTTTAGTTGTACGAATCAGAGGACAACTACAATGTTGCTATATCACATATTAATATGAAAAGATTGGGAATGTCAGATGAGATTGGAAGTGTAGCCGCTTTTTTAGCAAGTAGCGATGCTTCTTACATTACTGGTGAAACCATAGTGGTATCTGGTGGTATGCAATCAAGACTCTAAATTTACTTTATAACCATTTTATATATACTTTATATATTTTCTCCGTACTTCTAGTTTTGTACAATAATGTTAAGAAAAAATTCATTTCCTTATATATTTTTATATAAGTATACATGTAAAATATGGTGCTTGAGTTTTTTTTTTCATATAATTTGTTTCGCAATTGTATATATATAAGATTATATTAGTTTAATATATTCATATAAGAAATGATAATATATATTATATAATTGACGAAAAAAATATCAAATAATAGATAAGTATAAAGAGAGGGAGAAAACTAGCCACTTATATATATGTATATATATGTACTATGTATGGAATGTATATATATATGTATTCTTCGACAAATAATTGGACAGATTGTCGCAATCTCGTTAAATGTAATAAGTTAAACTGATTTTATTTAACTTTAATGCAATGAAAATATAAAAAAAAAAAAGATCTTTTTTCGCGTTTTCTCTTGAAGGGACATTTTGTTGATCGACGTGAGGGGTAGAAAATTACCGCGATACATTAATCCCATGACGTCACAGTGTAAAAAGCTATGCGCGATTGATCTGTTCAGAGTTCCGAATAGTGTCCTCGATCATCGTCGAGATGTTTCTCCGTCGCGAAATAATCTCGTAAAACAACTGTTCTCTCCTAGAAATGTTACAAACGTAAATTAAAAACACGAAAAGTTTAACGCTTGTCATAAACGAATAATCGTTCGTTACGATCGGCCGCGAGTCATCCCCCGAGATGATGCATCGCTCGGTGTTGCTCGTCGCGCATCAAACGTCATGGAGCACGCGATGACGACAGCGTTGACGAGCGACGACGCGAAACGTCCGTTCTGTGACGTGAATCGTCGCGTAATCGATTCGTTCGATTCGAGCTCTCGAGCCGCACACCGTTAGAAGGAGGGCGCCATGCTTGACTCTCGCTTCACTTTTATTTACCACACGCACAATATACACACACGCGCGCACGCACACAGGATACCCTCACTCGCGTAAGCTATAAACATGGCCGTCGTGCTTTGTGATGATGATTATCCGTGCCAGTTTGTTGTACGGCCGAGTGTCGCGCGTGATCGCAAATAATATGGATACGAGAGGTAGCAGTCCCGGAGACCCAGGTAACGACGACGACGTCGGGCGTTCGTCTCCCACCCTCTCCGTCCCGGATTTCGTTCGTCGCGAATGCAGCGGTGGCGATGTTTTGTATGTGTATCCCGCGTTCATTAGCGTTATCGCGTTCACGCGTTCCGTTTATATATCACATGCGTTTTCAATATTTTTTTTTTCCTTTCCTTCCCGTGAACGCGAAGGTGAGTGAACCTGTGTCGTTCTCGTACGTCATGCATTATCGTTGACTAACATAACGCGCCCGTCGCACTTTATTTGTATTGTGCGTTTGCTATCTTAGCTTTGACATGTATGTCAAACGGAGAACCGTGTAAATGTATATATATATATATATATCTTTTCATGCAGCATAATTTAATTCTCGCGAACTCAGAGAGATCTTTTCGTGAACTTGTTTTCCTCTTATTATGTTCGGATAGTGATACCTTTTCAGAGATTCGCGCAAATCTGTTGCCATGCAATGCATTATCAATATGTCAATCTCTACTCCATTGCTCGATCTTAATTTAAAGACCCGTTTACGCACTCAAACATATTTTCGCTCGAACACATCAGTGTTAATTATTTTAACAAATAATATATACACATTCAAATTAATTTAAACAATTTTTATTATACATTTGAATGCTTGTGCTTACTTTTATTATGCTCTGATATAGTCAAAATTTTTGTTCAAAATAAATTAATCTGTTTATTTACTTGAATAATTTGCTCAAACACATTTGAAGAATAGAATAAAAATTTAATAATAATAATATATAATTCTACATATCTGAGAATTGATGATGAAGTATAACTGTTTAAAAAACATTAAAAGAAAAGACAAATATAGATACATAATTAAGATTTATTTAAGAATGAGTTATAATAAATAAAAGATTATTATTTACTTGGTATATTATACAATATATAGATTATTTGTTTTTGCATTAAATCGAATCAGTTTGATTATAGTATATATTTAAAATTATATTATAAAATATATATTGTGCATGAATTTTTAAATTTTGCGATAACTATGTCATGCCCTAACATTAAACTGTTATCAGATAAATTTATTTTAGGCTGTTGTCTGGGTAAGCAATGAATGTACTTCGTATTTTGACACCGTGTGTGTTGCAACGCAGACGCATAAGAAGTATAGATAGTACCGATAAAAGGGATTCCTGGTTTATGAGAAGACAGCGTGGAGATGCCTCTCACATGACACATAGAATGGGTGCTTCTGCATCATCAAGCATCACCAACGTAGGTGGAGATTCGGTCCAAGCAGCTAGACTCTCAGCGTCAAGTAGTCCAGAACAACATGGCATTGCAGTTAGGTACATTATCAATATCTTATATAATTCATTGCTATTCATTACTGTTCACTGCTATTGCTTTTTAAAAAACATAACTATAACTTTATATAATTTTATATTTAATTATAACTTTCTAAATAACAGAAATATTTTATTTAGCTTACATATTTTATATATAATATGTCTATATAATTTTGATTAATGACTATTTTAAAATAGATCCAAAATAAGAAACGTAAAAAGATATAATATATATAAAATAAAAGAAATACTTAATTTAGAATATATTATATTTTAATTCGAATCTTAACATATAAGTAAAGAAAGAGAATTATTCAAAGACGGAAGTTACAAATGTGATCGCACATCAAATTTCCTATAGTTGTTTATTCATGTATAGAGAGAAAAAGAAGAAGATGACAGGATTTGCAACGTTACGCAAGAAATTTATTAGGAGACGCCGCTCTTCTAAAGCATGTGATCATGGTAGAATTATTAGAGATTTGGTGTCCACGTGGAGTCACTTGGAAGCAACAGCTCTGCTTGAGGAGTATGAGGCATTAGCTGCATTGAAAGATCTTCATGTTCAAGCTGAACTAGCTAGACCACCAGCTGCTACTTTCAAGCAAGACCTGTCAATGTTATATGATTACAAACATTGTTCCGATGTGGATCTTGTATATAGAGGAGCGTGCTTTCCCGTTCACAGAGCCGTGCTTTCTGCTAGATGCCCATACTTTAGAGATCTCTTGGCTGGTTGCCCTGGTACATATTTAATAATAAAACATGTTGTAATTTAAAATCTTTTTAATAATAAAATTTCTCACTTTATAATAAATTCTTTATTGTTCAATATAAAGTGTAATGTTATATAAGACATTGTTATTGCTCACATATGGTAAACATATTTTGTTAAAAATTGCAGGATATGGTGCTAGAATATGTTTGGAGTTGAGAACTCCGCATCTTGAAGTGCAGATGTTCTCAGCGTTATTACGGTATCTTTACACTGGTGATATCTGCCCGCACGATGCAACATTAGAAGCGAATCTACTTCGGCGACTCGGTGAAGAATTTGGAACTCCAAATCCATTGGAGCATGATCTCAGATATTTGCTGGATACTGGCGATTATGCCGACGCCGCTCTCGTATTCACCTCGGACAGCGATTATCAAAGACCGGATAGCGGAAGTTCGGAGTACGGATTTCGCCCTAAATTAGAGCTGCCATGTCATAAAGCGATACTCTCCGCGAGATCTCCTTTCTTTAGAAATTTAATACAAAGACGGACCAGATCGGGCGAGGATCACACAGAAAGGGCGCTTCATATACCTACTAGAATAGTGTTGGATGAAAGTGTAATACCTAAGCGATATGCCAGAGTCTTGTTACACGCTGTGTATCTAGATACCGTCGACTTGTCATTAATATTGCGAGGAAGTGGTTGCGGAAACAGCGCTGGTAGCTTGGGGGAGGTAAATATTTCAGTATTAAGCATGAAAATATTTTTTACATTACTTTTATATAGTACTAATGTTTTTGTTTAAATTTATAGGTTCAAGCTCTAACACATACGGGTCGAATGCGACCGAGTCCCTTGGAAGAAGCGATGGAATTGTATCAAATCGGACGATTTCTCGAGCTTGATATATTATCGCAAGGTTGCGAGGATCTTATCTTGGAATATCTCACCTTGGAATCGCTACCGACTGTTCTCAAGTATGTTTTTTTATTACTGATCGATTCTCTGTGAATATTAGTTTGTCACATACAAAAAATTATGTTATATGTGCAGGTGGGGTAGTCAACCTCACGGATCAGCATGGGTGCATAGACAAGCGTTACATTACTTAAGGGAGGAATTTCAGCCGATTGCTTCGTCCTCGATTCTCCATCAGTTAGATCATGCCCATTTAGCGAATGTATTACAGAGTCATTTTTTACAAGCAAGCGAACTTGAAGTACTGCAGGCAGTGCTCAAATGGGGCGAATACGAATTAGTACGTCGAATGGAGGATCGAGAGCCCAATTTGCTTAGCCATACCGTGCACTCCGTGACCAGAAAGGGTATTAAGAAGAGAGATCTCAGCGACATCGAATTAAGGGAGATACTAAGCGAACTTTTGCCGCTTGTCAGAATAGATCATATATTGCCGCCGAATAGCGAAGCATTAGCACAGGTATATATATATGTGTGTGTTTTTCTTGCAAAATATTTTAAATTATTCAAAAAAAAATATATATCTCGTTAATACATTACGTTTAATAATTTCAGGCTATTAGGAGAGGACTGGTTTCAACTCCGCCAAGTCACATGATAGGAGACGAAAGGGATAATTTACGGGTGAATGCTTGGATAAGAGGCGGAAAAAAGAACGGATTTTTCGTGAGACCAAGGCTATTCATGCCATATTATGAAGAGATTAAGGTAATGCTAATCGTTTTTAAACTTCTAGAAACATTTATCGATGTACATGTTGATGAATTATATTTATTGATTATTAGTCCTTGGTGGAAGAACAGATGATCCAAGAAGCTGATTTAGTGAGATTACGGAGGCCGCGATACGTGGCAGATATACCGGATGCGCTGTACATGGTTGAGGAGAAACCAAGAGCCATGGGTACCGCTGGTGTTGATGTTCTCGCTGCAGCATTTCCAGGTATTACGACATTTAGTTATTACGCTATTCCATTATGTTTCGAAAATCTAAAATTAACATACTATAAAAACTTGGGTATTATATATAATCTCGACACGAAAACTTAACTTTATGTCGATATATAAGCTATATAAGAAAATAAAAACATTAAAGATATCTTTAATATTGAATAGAGTGTATGTATATGTAAATGAGATTCTCTCATTTGTGAATGATATACATAGAGATTAAAAGATAAAATAATAGATAGATTTAATTGATAATTGATAGAAGATAATGAACTTGATTGATTGTTGTAGTGCCAGATTCTGCAACGATGGCTGCAATGCTGAAGCGGGAGCAGAAATTGAAGCAATCACCGAGCTGTCAGCGGGCCATAAGCTTGCCACTTTCTTCGCGACATGAAATCAATCGGCAAGTGCGACTGCGCGTTGTCAGGGAATTCAACTTACCCGATACTGTGGCTGATCTTTTGGAGGTGAGTACTTTCTTATGTTACCGCTTTTTACTTTGCTTTTAATCTTAGACAATTTATAATAATTTATAACAATAATAGTGTTAATAAATCGCGTAATATTAAAAAAAATTATATATCTCGTTAATACATTACGTTTAATAATTTCAGGCTATTAGGAGAGGACTGGTTTCAACTCCGCCAAGTCACATGATAGGAGACGAAAGGGATAATTTACGGGTGAATGCTTGGATAAGAGGCGGAAAAAAGAACGGATTTTTCGTGAGACCAAGGCTATTCATGCCATATTATGAAGAGATTAAGGTAATGCTAATCGTTTTTAAACTTCTAGAAACATTTATCGATGTACATGTTGATGAATTATATTTATTGGTTATTAGTCCTTGGTGGAAGAACAGATGATCCAAGAAGCTGATTTAGTGAGATTACGGAGGCCGCGATACGTGGCAGATATACCGGATGCGCTGTACATGGTTGAGGAGAAACCAAGAGCCATGGGTACCGCTGGTGTTGATGTTCTCGCTGCAGCATTTCCAGGTATTACGACATTTAGTTATTACGCTATTCCATTATGTTTCGAAAATCTAAAATTAACATACTATAAAAACTTGGGTATTATATATAATCTCGACACGAAAACTTAACTTTATGTCGATATATAAGCTATATAAGAAAATAAAAACATTAACGATATCTTTAATATTGAATAGAGTGTATGTATATGTAAATGAGATTCTCTCATTTGTGAATGATATACATAGAGATTAAAAGATAAAATAATAGATAGATTTAATTGATAATTGATAGAAGATAATGAACTTGATTGATTGTTGTAGTGCCAGATTCTGCAACGATGGCTGCAATGCTGAAGCGGGAGCAGAAATTGAAGCAATCACCGAGCTGTCAGCGGGCCATAAGCTTGCCACTTTCTTCGCGACATGAAATCAATCGGCAAGTGCGACTGCGCGTTGTCAGGGAATTCAACTTACCCGATACTGTGGCTGATCTTTTGGAGGTGAGTACTTTCTTATGTTACCGCTTTTTACTTTGCTTTTAATCTTAGACAATTTATAATAATTTATAACAATAATAGTGTTAATAAATCGCGTAATATTAAAAAAAAAAAGAAAAACAAATTACGTATATCTTAGATATAATTATTCTACATTTTAATAATGTGGGTAAGCATATGAATGCAAATTTACTGTTTTATTGTACATATTCTATTATGAATATATAATCTCATTTAAAATAGAATTGTGTATATATAATTTTTATTAGAAAATACTATTTCATAATTTACAATATTTACATATTGGCATGATCAAGTTCTCTACTTCATGTGAATGAGAGCCAAAATGCGGCAAATATTGATCACATTTTTAGCACCGTAACAGTTAAATTGCATCTTTCGTGTGTTAATATTTATATATCGTCTTAACAATTATTGACTTAGTTAAATATTCATATACAATATGTCATTGATATATCAATATGATCACTAGCTTTGGTCCTTAACATGTTTTACATTGTCTTAAAAAATCTTCTCATCGTTAATATTTATTTACAATTTTACAAATGTGATCGTATGAAATACTTGTCAATTTTTTCTATTATTATTATATTATTTGGCGATTATTTTATAGGCAAACAAAACAATTCTCTACGAAAGGATTAATTTTTTAAAAGTAGTCTTTCGCTTCTAATCATTTCACAAGCCATCCCTTCCGATCGAATACAGACAAGACGTGGAGCATTTTTTGTTTGTAATTCTCGTCATTGATGCCACCCTTGAAAACGTCTTTGTCCGCCGTATCAGTCGATTCCGTAACGGAGCCACGCGCCGCTTGGATTACCTGCACCATCATGATGCATTGCTTGAATTTGATGGGAGCGCACTGATTCAATTGCTCCATAAACTGGCTCTTGGGAAATATGTTTGTGTTCACGCTTAGCGATTCTAAACACTTGATGAAAGAGTTGTAATACAAGTCAATCATGTCGTCGAGATGTTCATCGAGGACCTCTTTCCGGGAACTCGATATGAGGAAAAATATGAGATCGTGCACGCCGTAGTCGTAGATCGTCAATTGAAAGTCTACAATTTTCATATTAATTGGCTTGTCTGTCTTATCGTATTTAAACAGCATATTATTCACCCAGAAATCGTTGTGCACCAATGTCGTCCAGGGTTCTTTCGGCGTTATGGTGACGTGCTTCGCGTACTCGAGCGTCTTCTCGATCTTGTCCAGATAAAATTCCGCCTCTTTCATGTTTTTGTAATCGTTGTACGCCTTCTGTACCATATCCTTTACGCAATCTTTTGCATCCTCGTTCACAGGATACTCGAGAACGGGCAGCACCACTCTTTTGAAGAAATCAGGCTTCTTGAGTTTCAGGCCAATCGTTATGGCATGCATTTTGGCTAAGTGACTGATCGCAAAATCCATGTGCACTTTGTCTAGACCGAGAATGCGATCTTGCGTCGTATAATCGTCGTCTTTCAAATTTTCTAAAATGATCGTGGCTTGCTCGTCGAAACACTGCGGATCTCGTAAGCCTAATCTGCCGCCTAAGAATCGCGGTGTGATGACGCTTAGAGTCTCTTCAGGAATTCCGCTTTCGTTTTGTAGTTTCAAAAACTCCGCCGCTATAGTGCTGTAGAAATCCAGTTCTTTCTTGAAAGTTATCGGACTGTCGAACAAATCTAGCAAATACTGTGATCTCGGTGGTAGTTTGACAACCATGTTTAAGGTTCTCTTTTTACCATTTTGTTCGGCATTGACAGTAATGGCTAATATCTGGCTACCGAAGTTTTCTCCGGGATCTGTTAATTGTTTCCACTCCGCATCGTGTATTTGAAAATCTGGACCGTACGTTTGTATTAACAATGCGTCCAGATTTTTAACAGGAAGCATGCTGGTCGATGATTGTGTTTTCCTAAAAAAATTTCATATATCAGTGATTATCTCAGAAAAATTAAAGTGTCGAGACCATTATATACATGTCAAGATAAGATTATATACACATATTATAAAATAATTGACATACATTGTACTTGGAAATTGGAGTCAAGTGTTCTTTGGCACAAATTGAACGTTCTTTAGTCGTCACTATCTCGGAGCTCTAGCTAAGCTGTAACATCAATTTCTCTTAATTCGTTTAAAGTTAGCTATATAATTTTATTATTTATTTACAAGTTTGATATTTCTACTAAAATTCCTTAATTCTTAATATTGTATTAATAAAACTTTTTAATTGGATTGTTTGAATTTAATTTAATTTAATTTAAAAAAAGAAATTGTTACTCCAAATTATATAAAATGTAAGTAAACTGTAAATATAAGAAGAATTAAATTTTAGAAATTATAAAACTCATTGAAAAATAAACAAAGAATATTAATAAATAATGTATATCCGAAAACTAAAATTTTTAATATTTAATACTTTAATTTATCTAAACATACCCTGTATTAGAAAATGATATTTCCAGAATTCCAACGTGTGTGCATGTATATATCTCGGAAGAGATATGTGTTATGAATTATGGATTATCATGAGACATGAACCTTGTATTATTTCAGTTTGTTTTGAATAGTAGAATGGTTGAAATTTATTATTGTGTTGTGTTGTCAATTTGGATCAAGACAAAATCTCGATACGTTAACTTTGATTTTGATTTGAATTCAACAATAGTTGTAAATCAAATGTGTCAAAATGTTTCTCGTAAATTTTGCGTTTTATGTTTCGCTTATCCTTTTTCGTAACGTGGCTTTTTCCACCTTTTTAAATAATAAAGATTATTGAAAGATTCTATTAAAATTTACATACAAATAAACAGTCGTAACTTTGAATATTTGCGGAATAAAAGGATTTTTGATGTAAAAAGGATCATTAATTTACAAATTAAAAAGCTGAATATATATATATA